TCTTGCCGGCTTTCATGCCAGCATATTGGCTCATGCGACAAATGGCAAACTACTTCAAGCAATTCTCGAAGAAGGATACGTGACTCCGGGAAGTCGCCGACACCAACATGGAAGGATACATAGCCGCTTCGTAGATGTTCCTAGCTATCTTCAGACCGGGACGCCGCAGGTTTTCCACTTCGTGAGTTCAAGCCGAATCTTGTTTGAATTCTGCCGAACAAAGCTTCGAAGAATCGGCAGCAGACGGGCGTCGAACGAGGAATGTACGCCGAAGAGATCACCAACAGAATCAACAATCCTCTGTCCCTTTATGCTGCTTTCTACAAGCTCAGCGGCAGCAAGGAGTCTGAATGGAAGAAAGAAGAAGAATCAAAACCTTCCGGCCCACAGCCAAGGTCCTGATCTTGCAAGGATGATCAGAAGGATTCCGAGTTGGAAAGGCCTCCAGGAAACTGGTCAATATCCCGGTCCAATGTGTGGAGTAAGTGGGCCAACTGGAGCAGCTGGAGCTACAATTGTAGTTCCAGCGAACGGGCAAAAGCGCAAGCCAAACATCCAAGAACCTGGTAAACAAGAAGACCGTACTTCGACGCTCATAAGATTACGAGCTCGACATTGAGGAAGAGCTCACCACTTATGTCAACGGAATCAGCATGAATAGACCGACCGGTTCAGCTCTCCGACAAGAAGCTAACGACCTCATGGACAGATTGTTAGAGGCGGACCACAAGGCAAACAAGAATAAGTTCTGCAGCCACCAGCCTGAAATCGGCTGTCCAATTCGGCTACCCCATGGTATTCAGCAACTTTGTTCATATGACAGAAGCAAGAAGCGAAAGGCGTATTTGAGATTCTGTCCTCCAATTTCCAGTTGACAAAGACGAAGCGAACCAGAATCGATGATGAAACGGAGGCGACGCAGACACCCATGATCCACCTCAACATAAACAAGAAGAGAAGCGACCTGGATGACTCCCTCATACTGGGCACAGGACATGCGCTCTGCCTCCAAGAAGCAGATGGAATAAGAAACCCCATTGTTCAGCAATTTTTCATCCAGGCTAGGGAGGATGCAAAGGAATTGGATCCAGGAGACAAGACAGCCAGAGTGGGCCTTATCCACAGATATGTTGTCACAAAACCCTTGGTCCGGGTGATGTCTGGAGCATGCTTCAGAGTCTGGTATGTATGGGCGGCTCTCAGAATCCAAAAGTACCAAGGTGCCACGGGCCCTGTGGCCCATGTTAAGGGACATCATCAGTACCTGCCAAGAGTTGCTAGGGCCACTTGCTATGTGCAGCCTCACCCGCCCCCCCCCCACTTCTTGTTAGGGCCGCTTTGATGTGCGCACTTCCTATTGGTGTCTCCATATGTTCTTCTCACAGGGCCCCCGCGCTTCTTTATAGCGCCGCTGTTCAGCTTCTGACCCGTGTTTGCAACCCCTTTTCTATAGGGCAGTTTTTCAGCTTAGTGACCCTTGTTTGTAATTGCGCACTTTCTCCATCCCCCCCAAGCCCCCGCTCCTTCATAGGGCTGTGGTTCAGTTTTATGATCCCTTGTTTGTAATCTCTCAGTTTCTTTATTGGAGCCATTTTTCTACTTCTTCTTCTTCTGGTACTCGAAACCTACCCAAACCAATCCTAAACTTCTACGCACTTTAAGAATCGCCGCAAGCCAACCCTCAAGCCCACCTTCAAAAGAATAAAACCAGATCTATCCTTAAGCAAACCCTGTACCAACCCTAACCCCCACATTTGACCACACTAACAGTCCTAATCCCACCCTAAACCAGCACTAAGCCAAACTAAACCCACCCTTCACCCGCCCCAAGCCCACCCTCAACTCACCCTTATCAAGCCCGAAGCAAAGCCTTCACAACGCTGGCGCAAACAAAACGGCTTGAAGACGCAGTAAACTACACTTCCCAAGCGCCGAGCGGAAACCAAAAAAGCCTTGCAATCCTTGTTTGTGGCCGCGAGCATTCTCCATTGGTGTCTTGATTTTCTATTGTAAAGCTGGCCAAACCTAAACCACCAACACGCCCGCAAAACCCACCGCAAGCCTATCCTAAGCCTGCCCTAAACTGCAACCCACCTTTGAACCTCCCTTAAACGCTGAGCCGTCCTCTGGTCTTCGTCTTGTTTTTTGGTTTTCTGGTCCCCCTTCGGCCCCCCAGGCTCTTTGACCCTTGGTTCCAAAAAGTGGGAACTTCGCTCCCTTAGCTTTAGTGCTGGCATTATTGCCCCCCTAGCTCCCGTGGCCCTTTCGTCCTGTCGTCCTTTCGTCCTCTCATCCTCTCATCCTCTGTGGCCCTTGCGAAACACCTTGTTGAGCCGGCCCCTGAGTGAGCAATTTGTTTTTGATTGCCAAAGAAAAGTTGATACCCTACCCCTCCGTCTATCTAGCTACGTATCTATCGACCTACACAACTATCTAACCTACCGTATCCTATATTTCCTTATCTTTACCTTGCTTTGTCTTATCTCATCTGGTAGTTCCATCAGTCTATCTTTCCTTTTATCTCTGTATCTAATTGTCTTTATCTACGTACCTATCTGTTTATTTATCTACCTATTTATTCATTTAGCTAACATCGCTTACCTTATAGTATCTATTTCATTTTTCTACCTACCTATTTACTTTTTGGGTACTTGTCTACCTATCTACCTATCTATATATGTACCTAAAGTTGGCTTATCTTACGGTACTCATCTATCTCATCTATCTACCTACTACCCACCTGTCTATCTTTCTATTTACCCACCTATCTATCTTTCTATCTACCTACCTATCTTTCTATCTACCTACTCTTTCTTTGTAATGTCTTCCATCTACCAGTCAGGCAGTCTTTATACTTATCTTCTTAGCGAAGCCTACCCATCTATTCATGTATTTAGTTATCTAGCAACCCATCTGTCTACCTATTTTTTATCTATGTACCCACTCTGCGTCCCTTGTCTCAAGCGGCAGCAAGGCGCCACATTCGTGCCAATACTAAGGCACAACATGAATGCGCCAATGGATTGAAAAATGCAAACGAAAACCATCGCAAGTCCAGAAAATTGAGACATAAGTTGGACACACCACATTCAGCATCAGCTAGTCGCACATATAATGCAAGTGCTAAGATGATACACCATTTGCGTTTTGCCTTGTAAGTACTACCGCCTGTCTCTGTTTGCACTCTACTTCTCTGACCCAGCTTCATCATTTGGCAACGCGATTTTCTCACGGTGAGCTTGCCAGTTAACGCACGAAAACCGAGAAATTTGTTGAGGCACGTAGTTTGTGCGTCTCCTTGTTTCGGTTCAATAACCAGAATTATTGAACGCTGCAAGCGTGTGTGCTCAGAGTATATATTCACTGGTTAACCCTCCAACAATCAACACAGATACTAGGATACCTTTTGTGCGCAATCAGAACATGTACATCGAAGCCTGAAGAGAGCCTAGAATATTCTGCGAGTTCAGATATGCTTGATGTTCTCTACTTAGGAATTCAGATTCGGACAAGGTCTCATGTTCATCATCTCCTGCACGGAAATCTCAGATCGAGAAGAACATGTTTCAGATTCTGAATCACATTGTGGAAAATGTCTGAACATATCTGGTTTTGTTTGCTCTGAATGACTACATAAAGAAATCATGGACATCTGAAACACGCATATTGTTTCAGACTTTCTTTGGACTCCGAATCATGTGTTTGGATTTTGCACAAAAAGGGATTCCTAATATTTGCTTTGGTTTCTTTGAGTACAAGGCAACCTTTTAGCGCTTAATGGCTTTGAACTTCTTTTTGGAAACAAAATCGAAAGATACACGCGTGGTGTGCCACAAGAGTATTTTAGATGTGTGTGTGTGTCAGTATACATCATGCTTGCAAGAATCGATAAGAAGATCACGAGTAAAAGCAGCTTGGCGACGTATGTCATCACAGTCGCGCTTCCTTCGAACAAGTGCCCCAGGATTCTTTCTGATCAACACGTTTGACAGCCAAAAAGTCGCCCTGCAAGGTTGGGGTGTGGAATCAAGGGGCCCTCTTCAAATGGCAAAGGATTGAAAACGGGTTAGGGGGGTTCCAAGCAGGCCTGAGTCCAAAATCACACCAGCAATTGGTGTGAGAGGTTGTCAAAGGCTGATGCCCCAGTAACACCCCAACAACGATCCTAGAGCGACAAAAGCCCTTCAAAAAAAGATGGACGCCAAAAGAACCCCCCCAAAAAAAGCATGGGTCGCAAAAAGGAAACCCTAAACCCAAACCCAATGGAGCTAAGACAAGGAACCCCCCAAAAAAGGATGGGCTCAACAAGGTGCCCCCCAGAAATCGAGAACCCAAAAAGGTGGCTTGCAGGCGTAACTTTTCACACACGCGTAGTATACTGCAGGCTTAAATGGGCTTGAGTTTGCCGAATAGAGAGGACCACGCGTGAAAACTTGCTTTTGGACGAGTGAGGACAAAGCACAAGAGCGGCACAGTTTGGAGCATGAGATTGCGATCGCTGACGGGCAGAGTATACAGGACTTAAGCTAGATCGCTAAGGCTGCTAAGTCCGAAAAGAAAGCCAACAGCGAGGGCCACATCGAGCCAGTACTTCGTACACTAGGCCTGCGCTTAGAAGTTGCGACTTCGGAGTTGGAGCTGCCAATGTGCCCATTTGAACTTAAGTGAGCTTTGCAAGCTCAGCCTGAGTCCCGCTACACGAGGTCTCCTAAGATGACTTACTGTAGGACTCAGGGTAACCTCTCTTAGCTGTGCTATAAGTTCTGCCAGAGCTTTTCAGAAGCACGAAGGCGGGGTGCCTATCCATTTTCCTTGAAAGGCTCGTGTTTCGTGTCGCCGCGCAGTCTTATCACTTTCACTTGTCAGGCCACACCCCCAATTTAGCCTGTTGGCTGCGCGTGAAGCTTAGGTTTTCTTGAGCTCTAGATCGCCTGCTGTGGGTGTTACCGGTTCCTTTCTTCGGGTGGGGGAGTTCCAGAAGAAGTCAAGTTGCTCCCGAGGCGCTTCTCCTGCAAAGCTGTTAGCGGTGAGGTGCTGGATGGCAAGACGCTTCATGTGCTCCTTGGCCCATCAAAAATGCCAAAGCGCAATCGCACGGCTCAGTCTTGCTATGTCTCTTCAGGACTTTGACACAGGTGTTTGTCGTTTTCCTCCGGGGGGTGCCAACATGCCGTGTGTTCCGGGGTTTTGCGCCAGCGTCACCAACGCTCTTAGCAGATTTTTCGCGGCAGCCCATTGGTAGTTCCATTTGCTTTTCGGGGAGAGCCCGAAAAATGCAGGCGGGGATGGCGTTTACCAAGTTCAGGCGCGGTATGGCAGTGCGTCTACCGTCAGGGCACAGCGGCGTGATTTGGCGCGAGGGCACGGCTACGCTGGCTTGGCCAAGGTTCATTTGCCAGAAGCTTGCTGAGTCCTGGTTTTCGACACTGAAATCGTGGAGCCGGCTTGAGCTGTGAAGCTGTGAGGCTGGCGAGTTGGCTTCGCGTGAGCGTTGTGTGGATGCGTCCAACCACCCAGACTCAGAACTTCGACTGAGCAGCATCCGCGTTGCCCCCACACAAGAGTGCGCGCGAACGCACAGGCACATGCACACACGTAGATGCACCCACGCACACACTCACACACCACAGACCGCACAGCGCAGACACAGAGACAGACACGACGCAGACAAACGCATGACAAAGACGACAGACGCACGCGTGCCCACACGCACCCCACGCACAAACAGTTGCGTACCCGCGTGCCGCAGCAAAAGCGAAGTCTTGCGTGCCTGATCGCGCGCGAAGGTAACACATGCACAAGCGCACGTGTGCTGTCAGTGACATGGTGCTGCCTGAGCGCATGCGCAGATGTGCGTGAATAGTAGGCCTTACTTAGTTGGCAATAGTCAAATGAAATTCAGAAGAAACCTCCATTCTACGGCAACCAATGAAAAGCTAGCTCCCTGACAGGACAAAATTGCGCGCGCGTGTGGCGGAATAGAAGTGAAGCTCTCTGCCTGGTCGGGGCTGGCTCGGAGCACGTTCGGAAAGGCTCGCAGCGACCTTGGAGCCGGGCCCATTGGCGCGGATGCCCGTTAGTCAAAGGAAGTTTAGAAGAGGCGCGGCAACTAACTGGAGGCTAGCTGTCTATCAGACAACAAGAGACGAAAAAGCACGCGCTCAAGAAGTGTGCGCGTGTGTGAAGCAGGAATACAAATGTTCGAAGAGTGCAAAGCTTTGCGGGCTTCCCTTCCTCGGGATGGTCGAAAGTTTGCCTGATCACGGCTGTCGGCGCGCTCGGAGGGGGTTCGGAGCAGGCTCGAACTTGGCACGGAGGCGCGCGCTTTTCGCAACAGTAGTTTGCGTGGGAGGCGCGGCGCTTTCACAATGTCAAGTACAGATTTCGCGGCCCAGACGCGTAGATATCGTGGCAGGCGCAGCGGTTTCGCGAGGCAGGTGGCAGACGCAGCACTGAGCTCAAGTACAGATTTGGTGGCATGCTCAGCGCTTTCGCAGGCTCGTGCAGGTTTCGTGGGCGCAGCAGACCAGCGCAGGTCGCAAGGCAGTCGCAGCTCTTTCGCGAGGTCATGTGTAGATTTCATGGCAGGCGCAGCTCAGCCTTTGCAGGGTTGAGAGACAGATGGTTGGGTAGGTTGATAGAGTTGGGATAGGTTTGTAGACATATAGAGAGGTAGATTGGATAGATCGGACAGATCGGATAGACAACTGGCCTTGCTAGGTAGATAGACAAGTTGTAGAGGATAGATTGACCAACGGGAATCAGCGCTTTCGCAAGGTCAAGCAAGGTCCCGTGGCAGGCGCAACGCCCTCGCATGGTTGTTAGATAGTAGATGAGATAGATTCGATAGGTAACCAGTTGATTAGCTTGCTAAATAAAAACACGGTAGACCGACAAATAGATAGGTAAGTAAGATATGGACAGGCCACTACATAAGTAGACAAGAAAGAAAGAAAGATAGATAGATAGACAGAGAGAGAGCTTGATGTGATTGGTTTACTGGTCGGTTGATTTGGTTGCCTGGTTGGTTGGTTGGTTGTTTGGTTGGTTGCTTGGTTGGTTGGTTGGTTGGTTGGCTGGTTGATTGACTGATGATTGCCTGGTTGGTTGGTTGGTGGGTTGGTAGGTAGGAAATGGAAAGGACTTGCAGCGGAGCTGCAAAGGAAGTAGAACAAACTGGAAAGGAAATGGACATAAGGTCTGGAGAAACAATTAGCAAGAACATGGCGAGGAATGAGAAGGGCGTGGAAAGGTGTCAAGCGTAGATAGAAAAGAAATGGAACGGAGCGGGGGGAAACGCAAAGGAGTCGGAAAGGAATGCCAAGTAAAGAAATGAAAAGACATCAAGAGGAATGGAAAAACAGCGAAAAGAAACGGAGAGGAATGGAAACATATTGAAAGCAGTGGAAAGAACTGGTAAGGAAGTCGTGGTGTTTGTCATGAATATAGTTCTATTTTTGATATCTTGGATTTCTACTTTCCAATCATCAATGCAAATAGTTTCATAAGTAATATTTACATTAAACACCTGCCCCATTTCCTTTTTATAAACTCTGCATATCACATGCTCTCCGATTTCATATTTATTTGTCTTTCCTAAATTGCTTCTTACGGTCTTGCTCACCCATTTGCACCTAGCATTAGTATAGGCTATGTTGGAGCGCAACCGGAAACACATCGCACGAATATGGAGCGACATGAAAACAGTGGGAGAAGCACGGCGCAGAAATGAAAAGGAACTGGAACGGATTGGACAGGGCGTGAACGTAAAATGGAAAGAAATAGAAGGACCATGGAACGGAACGAAGGTAATTGGAAAGGACATGGCTAGCTGAAGCGTAGAGAAATTCAGTTGGACAGACATGCTGTGTAAATTATGATTTAAAATGGAATCCGTCCAATTTTTAATTCCATTGTACAATAAAAGTTGCGCTTGGATTCACTCCTTATCAAAGTATGCCTCAACTCTAACTTAGTTGTAATGTTCTATTGGGACAGGCCCCTCTAAATTCTAAATGTAAGATGTATTTTCCACTAGGATTCCCTTTCCTTTTGAATCTAAGTCCTGTTCAAATGAAACGGAATTTCTAGAGAGCAGCCATTAGTGGAGATGTGAGCTGAGAGCCAAAAGCGCTATTAAAAAATGCTGACGGTGTTTCCTGGCCATGGTAGTGCTGGGGCTACCATGAGTCTCACATACTTATAAGTGCTGTTATGGAACTTGAGATGAACTTACGGACAACTTATGAAGTCTGGTTATACGCGTACTTATAAGTAGTTCGCAGCCGCTCGTGGGACGAACTCCATTTTTGGTTGTTTTTTGTGTTTGAACTCCATTTTTTCGTTGTTTTGTGCGCTTTCTTGCTTTTTTGGTGTGGGGGGGTGGGGGGGCGTGGGGGGGGGGGTGGGGGGGAATGATTACGCCACTTCTTCGAGTTTGCTTGACAAGAAGTTCTTTATTTCCTGTTTCTGCGGGGTGTGTGATGTTCTCTGTTAGTGTGCTGAGCTGTCTTGTTTTGCTGTAGCTTGGTGTCAGAAGACGTTCGTCTAGCGTTTGCCTTCATCGTCTTGCTGCGTTTGGCTGGCGTCTCGCATGGCTTCTCCACACACTCGGTGCTGGGTCCTTTCTTCACTGTCTGGCTGCCTTACTTGGACTCTCTTCTGGACGTCGCATGCCAACCAGCGGACCCCATCTCGTCCTTTGTGTCTGCTGTCACGATAATATGCCCACATAGGTTTCCGCTTGGCTTTTCGGCTTTAGGCGCCTACGTTCCTTTCTTGTGGTCCACCTGGTGTGCATCCTGAGAGTCGTCATCTGCTGCGCCCTTGCTCTGCTTCCATCGGCGTGGCTTCTGCTTGTTGGGTCTTGTCTCGTCGCTTGTCTGGCTTACGTCTCGTCGCTGTGGGTGAAGAACAGACTAAGGACCCCTCCCGCCGTCGGCTTTTGAAAAGAGAGTTCATCATGCGGTTCTCAAGCAACATGCGGTCTTGAACATGCCAGTGTGTTCCCCCCCGTCAGCTATTGAAAAGAGAGTTCATCACGCGGTTCCCAGGCAACATGCAGTCTTGAACATGGCAAAATCGTTGACACACGATAGTTGGGGGCTGGAAAAATGAGCTTCTGAAAGCAGCGTGCCAGTGGGATTCGGGAATGCAAGAAATTCCCCACTGTCTCGGCCATTTTACATGAGGGACAAAATCCTTGACACACTATAGTTGGGGGCTGTAAAAATGAGCTTCTGAAAGCAGCGTGCCAGTGAGATTCGGGAACGCAAGAAATTCCCCACTGTCTCGGCACAGACAGGGCCCCTGTAATCGCAGCTTCGACAGGTTGCTCCGAAGCCAAAAAACGCACAATATCACACGGGCTACTATGGGCGGTGTACCTAGCTTGCGTTCTGCGGGCCCCCATTTTTTGATGCTGCGCAGGTTCACTCGTTTCATCTCGTCTGAAGGCTTTTTTTCTGGAGATACGCTTTGTCGTTGTTCCAGGGCCATTGGCGGTGCGAAAAAGGCGACGGACACTGACCAACCGCGACCTTTTTGGCTCAAAGCAGTCCGGCGCACAGTCAGTGCAAGCAAATCACGCGCTGACCCTCAAAGCGCCATCAGCATGTGCTCTGTTGGCGCGGCCTCCCAGCAGAGATAGCTATCGCAGAGCTGCCAGATGCTCCCCCGTGCTTGCCTTGCGAAGGCGTCATGGGCGCAGAAGTGCCCACAGATGTCCAGGGCTGCCAAGACACTGCTACACAACTCCTCCGTGACTGCTAGAGAACAAAAGCCGCATGGCCTTCGCAGTCCGGAGGCCTGGGCTACGAAGCAACTCTGTCTTGGAGAGATGGGACAGGCCCTTCAACAGCATCTCGGTAAGCATTTGTCTCGCAAAGAGGCTAGGTTTGTTTAAGCTCCCGCAGAGTCTCTCCGCTGGGCTGCCCTTGTAGAGCTTATGCTTCGACTCCTGCGTTGAGCAGTTTGGCAGAAAGCCGAGCATCACCGCAGACTGGCCCAGTTGCCTTGCCATGCGATGCTTCGGCATGCTCTCTGGTGCTTCCCCTGCAGAGACTCTAGCCTGGCCACGTGCTCTGGCGCGGCGACCGGCGTCCACCTGTAGCGCAGGGCCCGCAGCTCCTGGACGACGTCCGCAAGTGCATCAAGCGACAGCCGCTCCTTCTGCAAGAGGAGCGGGCGAGCTGCCATCTTGTAGCCACTATCCTGAAAGTAGTTCTCCTGGAGAAGCGTGCGCCGACACGCCGGGCCCAGTCCAGCCGTCACGCGCAGCCACACCCGCGAGAGCGGGCAAGCTAAACTCGGGCACAGCTGCGCGAGCATCGCGCAGGCGCTGCAGCTCCCAGGAAACAATTCCGCTTTGAAAGTACACGTGCATCGTGCCGGATGCTGCGTGGCTTGGTGGCAAGATCTGTCGGGCGGACGGATCGTGCAAAAGTCCGTGCTCGAGTCACCGCACGCCGGAGGACTTTTCGAATCGCGACACTTCGCGAGGATGAAGCGCACGAAGTGCGTCCGCCTGCCGATAGTCATGATCTGTCATTGTCATATGGCGAAACCTCGAGGCGTCCCAAACGCCATCGCCG